TTTAGATATTTTGAAGAACATCTGAAACTGGTAACCATTGACTTCCATAGTATATAGGAAAAACAAACTCTATGAAAGTCGATGGTTACTGATTTTCAGCATTTTTCTAAATATCTTCTTTTGTGTTTAATTGAATAAAGAATCTAAATTAAGTTTGAAACCAGTAAAAGGTGATTAAATGATGACAGTTTCATCATTAAGCCTTGTTTCTTAAAGAATTTTAATAATAATTTGACAATTATTTAAAAAAAAAAATAATAATAAAAAAGTCATTTGTTGTCAACTTTAACCACTTAAAAATGTGTATAAATACCTCATCTATGCACATTTTAATGATGTCCCTATCATTAGTGGAAAAAATTCAGTACTTCATTCTCTGATGGTGTGTTTAAAAGCATGAGAGTCAGTAGTGTGACTTCAGCAAAAGCAAACCACAACCATCCAACAGTGTTTGCTAAACACAGCCCACTAAATCACAATCGATTTTACAGTCCTCATAAAGCAGATTTCACTGCACACTGATTCTACTTTACCTAAAGCTATTAGTCTATTAATTTAAATGAATAAACATAAAATATTGATTAGGTGATATTGCTTTATCATTAATAGCGGAAGCTTATTCTAGGTCTAGGACAACAAACAGCAGCTCTGTTCTTAACTAAGAACAAGTTGTTATTGTTGCCAGCACTGCTTTTAACCGCAGGGAAAGAAAAAAATAATAATTTAAAAGAAGAGTTAGCTCTGTTTTTTTATTTAGATATTTTGAAAAATGATTGAAACAGGTTTGATTGAAAACTCTATGAAAAGTCAAGGGTTACCTATTTTCAGCATTTTTCTAAATATCTTCTTTTGTGTTTAACAGAAGGAAAAAAAGTCAAAGTGAGGGGTAAGTAAATGATGACAGAATTTTTGGTGAGCTTTCCCTTTAATACAGCAAAAACTTATATGTTACACACTCCTAATCAGTGACAGTGACAGCATATATGAATACTAATATGCAAATAATGAAATTAACCTTTGCTGAAAGTGTGATACTCATGATTAACTGCATTTAACACTGATTAAATTATAATCTGTGTTAAATGTATAACCCAGAATTCAGTTTAATCAAGGTTTAAAATAAACCAGGGTTAACTAATTCAAGTGTGAACGCCCTAAATAGTGCATACAAAAGCACTCTGATGAAATGTAGTTACTGATTGGATTTCAATTTCAATGTTTAATGCGGTTATTAATGTTATGGTCATGTGGCGTTTCATACTGTGAGGATGTGCAGTCAGATTGTCATTACATATGTTAACTGTACCCTGTAGTCCGAATGACTCTTTGACAGACATTGGAACACCAAGCAGAGGAAACTGGTTCCTCAGAACTTCCTCTCCTCCATTTTCCTCCTTTATTAGTTTGTCTGCACGAGCTGCCTCCAGAAGGGCAGCAGAAAACCTGAAAGAGTGGACAGTGGACATCAGTAGTGTAACGTCAAGTACAAAAACTGTTACCTCATTGAAACAAGTGCTCACCTGTCTTTGATCAAAGCATTGAGCAGTGGGTTCACTTCCTGAATCCTGTCAATATACGCCTGCACAACCTCCACACTGCTAACCTGTGTTAAAGTACAAAATGATTGGTTATTTTAGATTAACTCCAAATGCACTGGGGAATCTGAGTAAACTTGCGTTGTATTAGGACTAATATGCACTCGTGTACATTATGAAAGGACTGTGCTAACATTATGGCTCACATACTTGCTGTGCTTGTAGTATAAAATGTTCAGTCCAAATATTCTGTATATTCATATTAATTAATATAATAATAAGATTAATCTTTTCTTTCTTTGATACACTATAATGCTTCCAACTGATACTCTTCTCTGCAATACAAATATATACATGTTTAGTTCCTAGTATATTTTTACATTAGAATGTTTATTTATTTAATTATCTATCCACCACACATTAAAAAAATCCAATCCAATATAACAAAACAATTAGCATTTTTCCTTTTACTTCTGCTTGATGTCCTTAGTTATTTAGTCAGCAGAAAATTAGAAAAATTAGACATTAGATGTAAAATTTTTAATATAGCTAAAAAAAATAATAATCTCAGTTTGTCTGCATGTATTGGATTTAATAGATATAAGCTTGAGTAATCTTTAAATGAAATCTTATAATTTGAAGATTTTTTCAGAGAATATAAATGGTTAAGCATCGTTTCCTAAAGGGATATTTCACCCAAAAATTAATATTCTGCCATCATTTACTCAATTTTTACTTATTCCCTACCAGTTTGAGTTTTTTTTTTTTTGTTCTGTTAAATGTTGGAAAGCTGTAACCATTGACTTTTTGTTTTTCCTACTATGGTGGTCAATGTTAACAGGCATCCAGATTTCATCAAAAGAAATATTTTGTGTTCAAGAAATCAACTCTACTTACCACTTGAAGATGAGTAAATAGTAAGTAAATATCCATTTTTGGATCACTTTAAACTTGAAGTTAAACTCCCTTGAAGTTAAAACATTAGTGTTGTATTATCTAAAAACAGAAAAACATCATTTTAAGTGGTCTCTAAATGTTATTTTTATAGCAGTATATTTACTTCTTTTCTTTTTTTTTTTTTTACATAATCAGCGCACTTGAGAGTCCTTTATACAGGATAAAGTTGAGAAGATAACCCCAGATTACTCTAGTCAAGTGAATAAATAAGAAATAAAGTCAGTTTCATTCACACTATTGGATCAAAGGCACTGTTTACAGCAACAAGATATAATTCAGTGTGTTGCTGACCTGTCATTATTGCACTGCACACCACAGCAATTACATCCTAACACTAAAGAGCATTTTCAGTTATCTCATGATTTCATCAGTTGCCCCTTTGTGCAGCCAATATTGAGATACTTGCTTGTTTCTTAATCCAACTTCCATCAGCAATGTCTTTTTTGTTTTGTTCATTGCTTTTCAAGCCTCTCACTAAATTTTCCTTTGAATCAAGACAGACATATTATCTAGAGAAGTCGCTTTTCCCTACATGGTTTAATAATAATATGAAATGGATTTTGTTAATCCATTAAAATGAGTATAATGCTTTGATAAAAGTTATTCCAACTGGCTTAAAACAGTTAAAAATTATCTTTTGTTCAAAAAAAGAAAGTTAACTACATGCATTTATCCAGCTTTACATTTGTGCAGCATCGATATTATAGATCAGAAACATAAAAAGAGCCACATTCACAAACTATTCCAACTCATTTATTCATTTTCTTTTCGGATTAGTCCCTTTATAATCTGGGATCACCACAGCAGAATGAACCACCAACTTATCCAGCACATGTTTTATGCAGCGGACGCCCTTCCAGCTGCAACCCATCACTTGAAAACATCCATACACACTCATTCACACACTACAGCCAATTTAGCGTAACAAATTCACCTAAAGCGCATGTCTTTCCACTGGGGGAAACACATTCAAACACGGGGAGAACATGCTAACTACACACAGAAAGGCCAACTGACCTAGCCTAGGCCTGAACCAGCGAAATTTTTGCTGTTAGGTGATCATGCTACCCACTGTGCCACCTTGACCCCTAAATATTGTACATTTTTATTTTACAGATGTACATTTTACTGCTGTTTCTTTGTAACAAAACGTAAGCTGGGGAAAGGTCTGGGTTTTGCCAAACATATTTTGTACCTAACAAGATTCATTTTGCACAGAAATCTATTCTGTTAATTTATTTATTTCAGAGTATGCTGATGCGACCTGCTCATTTTGTAGCTTTGTAGAGGAAACCGTTCCAGATTTGGTTTAAATCTCCTTCATATTTACCCCTTTTTCTTGTTAAAGTTAACTCTTGGTACCAGTCTTAGAGATAGATATAACAAGAAAAGTGCTTCATTTTTTTATGCATTACGACAAACTTTTTCAAAAATACATTTGTTTTGTCTGTTGATTAGTTAAATTCATGCAAACCTATAAGTTGCTGTTTTTTCTCTGTATTATTTGTAAAAGACATATCCATTTCATCTTCCTGTTCATCTATAAGTTGTGGCACTTTAAAAAAAACAAAAACAAGGATCTATCTGAATAGTTTAACTGATAAAATAGTGAAATAACAATTGTATGATTGTGACGACACAAAAAATAAAAAAATAAACATCTGCACTGTAATCTACTACTGAAGTGCAATAATCTGAAACTTAATTTAACGGGCTTTATTCTGTTTGAACGGTTTGTAACCTTTGAATGCCTTTTCTTTAATGTTCTAAATGTAGTCCGACAGATTAGTACAGGCCAAAACATGTCAATAATTGATCAAGTTTAGTTCTTTTCAGTGGCCTTGTTTATATTCTGCTCTCCAACATGGCATAACACTCCAAAGAACTAGATAAATGAACTGAGAAACAGCCCCATTTTAAATGTGCAAAATAAAATTAACATAATATAACAACAAAAATACTTTTACTTAAAAAATAGAGTGCAATGAATGATTATATTTATCTTTTCATTTCTTATTCCACTTTAAAACAATGCCAACTCTCTCAGAACAAACTCAGTCACCCTGCACAACATCACCACGACGACTAAACACTCCCATGTGTTTGCAAAATCACATTCACTAAAGCTCAGCTGTGACGAAGCTAATGCAAATAAGAGCTCAAACCTCTCTTCTGCGTATCTTCTCAGCCAGCTGCACTGCCGAGAGAGTAAGCAGCGGGTTTGTGATTGGAGGAAGATGTTTTGGACGCTTTGTGCCAGGTGAAAGCAGCCTGAAGAGAGGCAGAAACAGCCCGGACACGAGGACCAGCAGACAGTGCTGCACGCGCTCCCCGAGCGTCAGACCCATTGTGCTGCGAGCAGAGATCGGGACAGGTGCATTATATACAGACACACACCATATGCTACCACACCTCTTGCATTTAACTGTGTAGATCGTGAACTTTGACCTCTTTTATTTCCCTCTTATCAGTTGAGCGCTTTCTTTTTGCGACCTATGGAGTCAATATAGCCTACACTTATAGTTCATTTTAGAAACGTTATTTCGAAGACTATTAAATAAACGCTGTATAATAGTAAGAGATGCAACATTAATAATTTATTAATCGATTTTTCATCATTAATTAATGTATTTTCATTGCTTTTGTTTTAATTCTTGAAGTTTGTTAAAGAAAAACACTAGTATATAATATAATAAAAACAAAATTTAATTATTTATATACTATATAAACATTGCGTTTCTGTTTGTGTAGAAATGGATGGAACAATCACAATAAAGGCAAAACAGAACATTTACATAAAAAGAAAGTATAGTTCCTTAATCTCCTTATCTTACTAACAAAATTTTATATAGATAGCCTAAATGTAAATTTACAAATCAAAAACCTTTTTTACCTGAACTGCAGAATTACTTTGAAATTATTTCTAACTCTTTTACAAAAAGGTTTAAAAAACTGTAAAGGTGTGAATTATATCATCTTTTTCTTTAACGTGTGATGTATAGGCCTATACCCCAAGTAAAAGAAACAAATTTTAAAAACATAGATATTATCCATGCAATGATTTTATAAGTAAGTTTAAGGAAGGTTTTTCACCCTTGTGTTGTTTTTGTAAAATGGAACCGGAAACAATTCTTCATTTATTTTTCAGTTGCAGTTACACAAAACAGTTTTGGTCCCAAGTTTCCTTACTACTTTTTGAAGTGTTTTATAAATTAATCAGTATAACTGAGCAAATGTTTTTTTTACGGATTGCAACTCTGGATTACTGGAAATGGACAAAATAACAAAAATTCTTATTTTATTTGGAAAGTATCACATCCACAAAACAAAATGTATGCTGACTGTACCAAATTGTAAATTTTATTTTTCATTAATCTAAAACGTTTTTATGATTCCCTCACTGCTATACAAAGTAATACCAAAGCTATTAAGACATCTCAACTACTGGAAAAAAATACTTAATATACACGATTAATTTTTGTTGTTAATTCCATTGTATACTGTTTTATGTATAACTCTGTACACCCCTGTTTGATCAATAAAATAAAAAAAGGCCTATACCCCTTCTGTTTTTTATTATTTATTCATTATTTTCTAATGATATAAAAATACTTTTCCTTTTCTTTATAATGTACTGTGATTGTATATTTTCACTTTTCGCATAATTAAAAATAAAAAAAGAAAAAAATTAAAAAGATGTTTTTTTTTTAAAAAAAACGATCATGATCACAATAAAACGTTATTTTGATATTATGATTTAAGCTAACGTTAATCAGCCTTTTCCTAACCTTTTCTTTGGCCAAAAAATCATAAATCACTCATCAGAGACCTCCATTGTCAGAGACACTCATCTTCCCCTATTCCATATATGGGACGCGCTATGATGTCACTGTAGATGGGCGGAGTCCTTCAGTGAAATGAAACTGAACTGAAAAACAACTGGAAAGGTGTCCTGACTAGTGACGACAACTGACTATTTAACTGTTTTGCTATGTTTAGGTATATGTGAGCATAACTGAGACACAGGTATGTAAAAGAAATGTACTTCCATCTTCAGTTTTTTATTAGGGTGGACACACGTCTTGTAGTGTACATCCTTCCAGGTTTAGGGCCAAATACCTCTGTTGTTCTTGTTTCAGTAATGCAGTGCCATCAGAATTGCATTATATTATGTCATTTTAGCCTTTGTAAAGTAAAATTTGAAGTAATTTGAGTTACACTTTGGCATGTGTAGCTTTTCTTGTTTGCAACTAACGCTAGCTGCTTATTAGCATTCATATTGGCTGTGAGTGTTAAGCACACAGTAATGCCTGTTGTAACTGTTGTAATCACATCTTAAAAACACAGAAGACATTAATTTGATAATAACCTTTACATTCAGCCTCATAGACATTATTTTGTGTACTAAAAAAGCTTCTGTGATTTTTGTAAGCAAATTCACCCTCAAAAATAAAACACGCATAAACACTGTTAGAGTAGCTTACATGATGATTTCATATGAATGTTTATTACATGGGCATGAATGGCCCAGATAGCTTTATATATCAAGATATATTTATGTGTTGTTGTCTGATACTTTTCAATCCAGCAATTATTGTTTGTGCTACAGTTTGTGGTTTAATTATTGTGGTTTATTATTTAAAAAAATTATCAGAAAAATACAATGGAAGAATCTCCAAGAGGGACCAGAACTCAGGATTCATCTAAATGTAAGTCAGTAACCCTCCCCAAAAAATAATGTATAAGTTCTTGTGTAAGTAATCCTTTCTTTTTTCAGCTCTGATATCCTCCACTGGTCCTCTGTCTGAAGAGCTCCAGTGTTCAGTGTGTCTGGATGTGTTCATTGATCCAGTCACCACTCCATGCGGACACAACTTCTGCAAGACCTGCCTGGAAAAGTACTGGCACAACAGTCGAGACTACAGCTGCCCAATCTGTAAAGAAACATTGCACCAAAAGCCTGAGCTCAAAGTCAATACAACGCTCCGAGAGATTGCAGATCACTACAAAAAGAAAAGCAATCTGGAAATGGCTGAGGTCTTCTGTGACTTCTGCACGGACACTAAGAAGAAAGCATTGAAGTCATGTCCGCTGTGTCAGAGCTCTTACTGTGAGGCTCATCTGGAGCGTCATTTGACAGTTCCGGGTTTAAAGCAACACAAGCTGATCAACCCTGTCAAAAATCTCCAGGGTTATTTGTGTCAGGAGCATGACCGGCCTCTTGAGCTGTTCTGCAGAGATGATCAGACGTGTGTTTGTGTGACCTGCACTGTGACTGAACATAAGATGCACAACACTGTTCCTGTAGAGGAGGAGAGTGAAGAGAAGAAGGTAAGAAACAGCAGAATTATAACATGCTGTATGTACATTTTCATATTATAACCTTTTAATATAAATTGGTTGCATAGGCCCTTAGTATAAATATGCATTAAAACTTCACTCATTTTCTTTTTGGCTTAATCCCTTTATAAATCTGAGGTTGCCACAACGGAATGAACCGCCAACTTAAATTAAATTTTTTGTTTTATATGATTTTCCTTGTATATATTAATATGTGGGCAGCACGGTGGCGCAATCGCCTCACAGCAAGAAGGTCACTGGTTTGAGCCTAGGCTAGGTCATTTGGCATTTCTGTGTGGAGTTTGCATGTTCTCCCCATATTCGCATGGGTTTCCTCCAGGTGCTCCCGTTTCCTACACAGTCCAAATACATGCACTATAGGTGGATGTTTCCCAGTAATGGGTTGCAGCTGGAAGGGCATCTACTGCATAAAACATATGCTGGATAAGTTGGCGGTTCATTCCGCTGTGGCAACCCCAGATTAATAAAGGGACTAAGCCGATAAGAAAATAAATGTATGCGAGTGTGTGCAAGAATGTATGAGTGTTTTCCAGTGATGGGTTGCAGCTGGAAGGGCATCTGCTGCATAAAACATATGCTGGATAAGTTGGCGATTCGTTCTGCTGTGGCGACCCCACATTAATAAAGGAACTAAGCCGAAAAGAAAATGAATGAATGTGAGTGTGTGCACGAGTGTATGAGTGTTTCCCAGTGATGGGTTGCAGCTGGAAGGGCATCTGCTGCATATAACATATGCTGGGTAAGTTGGCGGTTCATTCCGCTGTGGTGACCCCAGATTAATAAAGGGACTAAGCCAAAAAGAAAATGAATGAATATTAATATGTATACATTCTATCTATTTTATTTATAGTCTTGTTTTCTGTAAACCTGATATAAAAAAATTACTCACCCATCCAAACCTTTATGAGTTTCTTTCTTCTGTTGAAAACAAAAAAAAAGATATTTTGAAGAAAGCTGTAATCGATGACGTCCGGTTGACTTTCGGAGGTCAGTTGTTACCAGTTTTTCCAACATACTTCAAAATATCTTCTTTTGTGTTTACCAGAATAACGCAACTCATAAAGGTGAGTAATTGGTAAGATTTCTTTTTTGCGTGTGAATTTTCCCTCAATGCGCTTGTTTCTTCTTAAGTAGTTGAGTAATAAAACAGGTCTGTGTTGTTTTCTGACTATAGAACCAGCTGATGAAGACACAGACAGACATGCAGCAGTTAATCCAGGACAGAATGAAGATGATTAAAGAAATCCAGCATTCAGTAGAGCTAAGAAAAGTAAGTTTACTTAGAATCTTCATTCAAAGACAAACTCCAGCAAATTTAGTTGTCAGACACTACTGGTATCATAAATTTACTCCATGCTCATGCTTAAATATACTGCTGGGTCTTTAATATTATGAGTTATTTTTGTGCTATATATGGCATCATGGATTTTTTTTTTTAATAAAAAAAATCAAAATGTAAATCTGACTGCCCCTGCTAGAGATCTTCAAATGGGCTGTCATTCCGTAAGGACACACATTTAAAACAAACATGAAAACCTACACAAAAATGCTTCGCTTGCCACTAGACGAAGGCCCAGTTTTGAATCAAAGAAATCCTCTGAACTTTTTTTTCATTTGATTAATTAGAAAAACAATGAAAAAGAGAAAGCCGACTGTGTCGAGGTGTTTGCTGATCTGATGCGCTCCATTGAGAGATGTCAGCGTGAGCTGCTGGAGGTGACGGAGCAGAAGCAGAAAGCAGCAGAGAAACAGGCTGAAGAACTGATTAAAGAGCTGGAGCAGGAGATCAGTGAACTGAGGAGGAGAAACACTGAGCTGGAGGAGCTCTCACACACTGAAGATCACCTGCACCTCCTACAGGTCTCTCTCTCTCTCTTTGGTAAAGCACTAGTGTCATGTCACAGTGATTGATTTTCTCTTCTCTCTTCTGTTGTAGATGTTTCCATCTTTGTGCAGGCCTTTAGACATCAAGATCTGGACTGGAATCAATATTAACACCGGTGTGAGTGTGGAGACTTTGAGAAGCGCTCTGTCTCAGCTGCAGGAGACTATAGATGAGGGATTTAATAATAATGGTAAGTTTTTTCTATTTTTATTTAAAAAAAATACTCTTTTTATTTTTATTTACAATACTCACTAAAAACTATTTTAAATATACAAAACCTGACACAAAAAACCATCCACTACATCCAAGACAGAAATGATCATTTTCAAAGTCATTTAGTTCATAAATATGTCAGTTTGTACAATCAAGCCACAATTATTCATATCTCAAGCAAATTCTAAGTTTCTGTTCAAATGTAAATAAAAGCTGAGATTTGTTATTCCACAATGACGCCTCTTGTACATTGTCCTATTGTATTGTGGGAGAAGCCTGTGTCATTTCCGTAAAAAATAAACACTTTCTGATAGAATTAAGTCCTAATTTGTGTCTTGACTGTGTGTATGTAAATGAATAATAATATGTTGTTGTCATGTGTGTCACAGTGTTGAAGAGGATCCAGAAGTATTCAGGTACTGTGTATAATCTTACTCGCATACAGTATCTTCAACTGATATGATTTGCATTCTAAATAGATTTGACTGATTGTGAATTTGTATACAGAAGCTGTGATTCAAACTCTTTCTCTCTTAGTGGATGTGATTCTGGATCCTGATACAGCTCATCCGAAGCTTATCCTGTCTGAAGATGGAAAGCAAGTGCGGTATGGAAACATAAAGCATGACCGCCCAGGCAGTGACAAGAGGTTTGAAAACTATATTGTTGTGTTGGGAAAAGAGGGCTTTTCCTCAGGGAGATTTTATTTTGAAGTAAATGTAAGTGGAAAGACTGAATGGCTTTTGGGTGTGGCTAGAGAATCCCTCAACAGAAAGGGGGAGTTCTTCCTCAGTCCTAACGATGGGAATTGGTCTCTGTGGCTGAAAGATGAAAATAAGTGTGAGGCTTGCGAGTCTCTAACTCTCTCCCTCTCCTTGAAAGTGAAGCCCCAGACAGTGGGTGTGTTTGTGGATTATGAGGAAGGTCTGGTCTCCTTTTATGACGTAAAGTCTAGGTCTCATATCTACTCTTTCACTGGTCAGTCTTTCACTGAGAAACTCTATCCATTTTTAAGTCCGTTGAGTAATAATAAAGGTCAAAATTCAGCACCACTCATCATCTCACCTGTGACTGGTAATGATTGAATCAAACTCAAAGTTGAAATGCTAGATGCAAATGATTCCTTCATAGCCATGAATCTGAATCATCTCGTTGTAATGAGGAAAGCTATTCTGTGCATAATTCAAGAGATATTTGGTTTGATTTTTCTTTCTCTACCCTTTGTTACAGTAAAATCACTTTCCTGTAAAAAGTTCTTCTCTTATTGTTTGAAATAATAAAACAGAATACATTGACTGTAAAAAGAGTGTGTATTTACCTATAGTTACTCTAGATAAATATTCACAATGCAATGTGTGGTCCTAGCTCAATTATTCTATTATGTTTAACCTTTATTCATGTTTGTTGACCAGTATGAGATGGAGAGCAGGGCAAACAGCAGGGCAAAATTGCTGCTGATATAAAAAAAATTAGATCAGTTTATTTTAATGTTAGTCTTGTGCCACTAGATGGCAGCAGAAATTTATGTTCTATTCTATGAACATAATTCTATGTTTCTCCATGGCTCGCATCTTGCATGCATACACACTCTTTCATGTTGCACTGCATGCAACTGTACATCCATTAACAACAACAGGAGCAGTTTAATGAGCTCTGTGTGCTCAAGCATGACTCAATTATTAAGGAGACCAGATGTGTGCTTTATTTACTGTGAGATATTCTTGCACCAGTATCGGAAGAGTCAAAAAGATCATATTATATGATAGTAGGCCTATTGCATGACAAAGTTAAAGGGTGCCTGCAACATCAGTGTAAAGAAGCAATGACTTTTATTATTATGTAATTTATGAATTATATATATTTTATCCACAAATGATGGTCATACGTTTGATAAAAGAACTGAAGGGTGTTGTTGCTGTCAAAACTAAAGCACTTTTAAAGCTCATAAATGAGTCAACAGCGTTGGTCTTGCTCAATAATTCATACATCATAGATTTGATAGCGCTGTGTCGTCTTCGTGTAAAGTTTCTCACTGTAGGTGAGTTTGTCATGGAATAACAAAAAGTAAACAAGCAATGAATGTCTGCTCACCATGACAAATAATGTTAGAGATGGGGGTCAGGTGATGGGACGTTTGTTTCTTCACTGTTTGGCATACACTGACCTCAGGAATATTAATTAGCCAACAATTAAGTTTTATTTAGTTACTTATTTTAGTTTAACTTCTTTTTTATTAAGTTTTGGACACATTTGAATAATGTTTTATTGGTAATATCATTGTCCATTTTTGTCATTAATTTGCTTTTGTATACTTTTTCAATCTATTGAAATGCAATTATGTTTTTTTATTTTTAAATAAATCATTCACTACTTGAGCTTCGCCTGGTCATCATCACCATCATCATCATCATCATCTGTCAACCAGCTCGTGCGCGCGCCCCTGCAGGTGAGCCGCCTCCGCTGGACCCGCCCAGGTGAGTCGCCTCCAATAAGAGCTCAAAGTCAACTCCGCACACATTTCCTGCGACTGATACACAGATGCCTGTAGAGCTCCTCCGTTTAGTCGCTTTTTTAAAATGAAACACGAGGGGGTTTGAGCTGACGCATCCGTGCATTTTAGGGTATTTCCGATGGATTGAAATGTGCTGAAGCGAAGACCCGATAAGTTTATACCTGTAGAGCATAGGAGGTAAGCTTTGCAATCAAGACAAGCGATATTGTGGCAAAATGTTAATGCTAATTGAAACAGGGTTACTTTCAGGTAACGAATAAAAGTATAAACAGTGTTGTGAAGAGGTTGCGATGGCGCGTATCGCCTCACTTCTCTATGTATAATTGATCATCCGCAGTCTGACTGTAGCGGAAGATGCCGCTCATCACTAGTCCAACTTCACCAAAACATGTTCACCACGAGGAAATGTAAATATAACCAGCGGTAATGTCGATTCTCTGTTTCCTATCTAAAACAGGATTGTGATGCGTTGCTGAAAATGAGGCCAGCTATCAGGATGGAGGAAGCGTCGCACGAGACCTGAAGATCGGTCACGCGCAGGACGCATAACGGGGATTTATAACTTGAGCGAAAGGCGGACCGCTCTTTTTTGACAAACAATCACAGGGACCTTGTAACTGCATTGCAGAAATGTAAACGCTTGGGGTAGATTTCAGACTGCTCGAGATAATGTCCATCTTTATGGACCAAGATGACTTGGACCCGGAGGCTTCGGATTCTCTCATGCACGGAGTTCACGGAGCGCACCGGCCCAGGCCGTCATCTTACCGGGCGCTGCGCAGCGCCGTGTCCAGCCTGGCACGACTAGACGACTTCATCTGCGAGAAGATCGGCTCAGGTTTCTTCTCGGAGGTGTTCAAGGTAAATATGCCATTTATACTATGCCTGTTTGAAACATAGTTCATCTCCAGCACATCTATAAGTGAACACATCATGTAAACAAATGCTTTTAGAGACGATTTGTAGTGTCATTTCTATAAGGCAGTAGATTCTTGTTTGTAAATATTAGTTAGGCTTCTAAGATGGGGGTGAAGTTTGAAAAAAAAAAAAAAAAACTTTGGATGGCATTATGCTGCTTTTCCGCTAGTTTAGTAAATTAAATCTTAATATCTTCAGCATTTTCTATCAAGATTTGAACATAAAATGCATAATCGTGATGCATTTATGTTTTGTACTGTTAGCTTGTGTATCTTATCTTGTTTGACTATCTTTTAAAACTATTAAAGTCATTGTAACACTCTTAGACTAAATCTCTCAGTGAGCAATGAATTTTGAAATTATTTGAATGAAACATTGCTATTATTGACTTATCCTTTAGGCTAGGGCTGCGCAATATTGAAAAAATGAATATTGCAATAGTGAATTTTTTGTGTGACACATAATGGGATATTAATTTAGTTTCATAATATGATTTACAAAACTCTGTAAGGAAAGAGTTCATAATTTTACATTGTGATGATTTTGAAGTGAATGTGTTTATTATAAAGTATAATAGTTATAATAAATTACTATCATAAATGAATACAATAACACAAATATACAAATGAAATTGTGTTTGTTTTTCTGGATATTCTAACAGTATCGAGTTCAAATGTAAAATAACACCGTGACCGTATACAATTCCTCTTTGTTAAAGCTACACATTTTCTACACACAACTTCTTGTGCACAAATAGTTTTCATTAGCTGGAAATGTTATAGTCACATGCCTAAAAAATAAATAAATTTGTTCATTATAATAGGTTAAACTTTATTGCTATTAAAGTAATTTCTGGTTAATTATAATAATAATTATTATAATAATTAAACTCAAAACTGCAGATTCTGCGATGTGACTTGCATATTCACACATTGCGATAACGATGCTGAAACGATATGTTGTGCAGCCCTACTTTAGGCCATCAGAAATTGTTAAAGAGAATATAGATGACTTTTTGCGCGCGCACGTGTGTGTGTGTGTGTGTGTGTGTGTGTGTGTGTGTGTGTGTGTGTCAATTATACAAACATCATCAGCTCACATGTAAGACAGGGGTGTTTGAACTCTGTCCTAGAGGACCGCTGTCCTGGAGAGTTTAGCTCCAACCCTAATCAAACATACCTGAACCAGCTAATCAAGCTCTTACAAGATATACTGAACTTCCTGGCAGGAGTTTTGAAGAAATGACCATGAATGTGGACCACCCCTTTAATGTTATACTAAAGAAAAAGTCACCTGTGTACCTCTTGGATGATCTGAAGGTAAATAAATTAACAGGAAACTCATTTTTGTGCCAACCATCTCTCAAATGACCTAAACACATGCCAAACATGTACTGTATGTGACTGCCTAATAAAATGAGCATAACAGCTCTCATATTATAAATAATGCACTTATCAAGTGACACTTATTTAGACGGCCCACCATTTTTTCACTTGCAGCCATCTTTACGATTGTTCTGTCATGATGTGTCCTCCGGTCTTGTTCTTTGTAAATTGAAGATGCGTTTTACACTCCCAGAATGATTGATTGCACAGACCAGTAATTTCTGAAGCTCTTTGCAAAAGTCCAATGATAACAACAGTCGTGCAGGCAGGGGTCGTGACCCGTGTAAGGACAGTAGGTCTGTGTTGGTGTGAAAGTGGATACCCGTTGACAAGGAGCGCAGGTGTGCTGGAAACTCTACTCCCGTGTTTGTGTGCATGTGAGACCAAGAGAAGAGACCTAATTAGTTATTCTTCAATAGTTCACTCTGTCACCCAATTTACTGACCGGGTACCAGATATGGTAATGACTTCCTGCTGGTTACTGCCGCTAGAATGTCACCGCTGATGAGGTCAATATATATGCAAATGTGTGGTAGCTGCTATTTGTTTGCGCTTGTAGTTGCGAGGGTTATGGAAGATGTAAAGAAGGCGTTTATAATGGTGAACGGCCTCAGTTAATAGTCCAGGTAAAAAATAAAATTAGATAGGAAGACTTTAGATGCAGAAACCTCTAAAACGTCTGACATTTTTCTTTAAAATGAGCATTTTAATCATGCTCCTGGGTGTAAGTTCAGTAATATCTCTTTTAAGGCAAAGAATAAGTAATTTTCCTGGTCTTTAAAGTGAAATATCTTAACATAAAGAAAGGAGGTGGAGAAAAGTCTTCATTTTGAGCCTTCAAAAGTCTCAGCTTTTTGCATCTCAACTATTCATATATATATATATATATATATATATATATATATATATATATATATATATATATATATATATATATATATATATATATATAATTTTTTTTTAATAGTTGTTGTTATTCAAGTAAATTGACAAAAAAATTGTACTAATAGAACTTAAAAACATTTTTGACTAAATTTTACAACATGAAATCTGGGTCTTTGCACTATTAACTAGATGTATATCCTTTTAAAATTGTAGGATGGGGGGTCCCATATAGGAGTCAGACTCAGTGGTGTCTAAAAGACTGAAAAAGCCACTTTTTAAATAAATAGCCTACAACAATACTATTGAGCAATCTTGCGGTGTCTGTGCCTGTCCTGACAGATCCTTCAGGTGCTGTTTTTATTCTTTGCAGTCTGTTTCTATTGCCGGGGCTTTTGAGAAATGTTTCTGTCTGCTCTCTTATAATTGGTGTGTAGGGCTGGGCGATAGGCCAAAATCATTACTACAATAAAAATCAATCAGCATCAATGATTATAAGTCAAATCTCAATTTCTGTCAAGTTTAAAGGCAGACTTATAATTACAGTTCATTTAATCTGAACTGCTCTTGTTTTGTCGGAACATAAGACACAAATACACTTCATTAAACATGTACACGCAGACATCACAATTAAATTGCAGGTTAATGATGTCTGTGTATAATAACTTGTATTCAACTGTAACTTTAACTTCATTTGATTGCAGTTAAATGATGTGCACCTTTTATAAAGCTGCTTTGAAACAATAAATATTGTAAAAAGCACTGTACAAATAAACCTGAATTAAATTGAGTTAAATTGAAGGAAGACCTAAATCTGAGTTACACTGTATCTAATGATAAATAATTACAGAACTTGTATTAAAACAGGTTTTAGTTCTCTGACTTTGAGGACAGGAAGTACATTGTGTACAACAATAACATCTGTATTTTAAATTTTGTTTTACTATATTTCCAATATATTATATTTCTAATATAGTTGTAACCCATTAGCCTGAATACACACTCGAAAAATGAGGTTTGTTCTTTGTTTAACCTACTTGTTTAAAATGAGCTGAACCTACACAATTATTGTTTTATGGTGGGACAACTCCATTGTTTTATGTTCAGTCCACTTAAGTTTGTAAAAACTAAGAAGTTAACTTAATTCCTCCATGTTTTTCCAACACAAATCGATTGTGTAAAATCCAGTGCTTTTTAAATACATTAATGCAAGTACTAAAAATCATTTACTGTTCCATTGACCCTTTAATTGGTTTAATACATGTCTAAATTAAGAATATGATTCAGGGTCTCAATTCTGCCTCAATACCATTTCTTATTTTATGGTCTTACAGTAAATCAATTAAATAAGAGGATCGTTCACTACTGTGATTCTCAGTGCTAGCTCATCCGGATATAAACTAAGTTAGAGACATTTGTGCTAAATTTGTCATATGAATAGGGTATATGCAGAAGGACTTTTAATTTTCCGTAACCCAGTTAAAGTGATTCAGGTGAGCTGTATGCAGTTACAAAATCGCCGTGTTTATGGTCTGTTTCCTTTTTCAATCAGGCAGTGAATATCACCAATTTTTTATTCAATATAAAGTGGGTCTTATTATGTAGAAGAAGCACTGTGTTAAATTCCATTGTTCCACATGTATACATGTTGTGAAAATGTATTTTCAATTGAGTTTTTGCTCTAGCCTGCTGTTACTGATGGCTTTTGTGCTAGAATGGAAAAAATGCAATCTCGATAATTATTTTCCATATTGAATGATAACGCTATGTATTTCTATACAAGTTGTTAGTGCTTCCAGATTTGAAAGAGTACTACAACAATGACTGAAGCCACAAAAATTACAGGGTCGATAAAGTGGCATAACATATTTTCGTCCGACTATCTTTTGGTGGCTGAAAATTTGGTACATTTCTAATGTCAAGACATTACTAGAATCCCATTGCTGCACATTTCTTCTGTGATTGGCTTTTGGATCAATATAGAGTAAAAAAGTCCAGAGATTATCATTGTTATTCACATATTTATAGCGATTTAATATAATATAGTTTATCAACCCAGCACTACGTTTGACTATTGAATATAGTCATATTAACCTTTCACTGGAAGTTTATCGGTAGGGGAAAAACAGTAGCTGTGCTTATAGTCTAATGGCCACATTTTAACTTCTTCTACATGAGATTGATATGTCACCAGGTTTGCATGTAAAGAAAATGTTCAACTGTGCTGCTGCTCTTGGATGCAGTTTGCACAAACAAACAGGTAATGCATAAACAGTATTTCAAATTCTTTAATCTTGGGAGAAATATATTGTGATAATCTTCGTTAACATTTATCGCCCGGCCCTAATTTTTGGTCTAATTGGTATGTGTTCAGAAAATGTCTCAAGTCAGAAAACTGCTTGATAATTCATTACGCAGGGGGGAAATTGCTCTGCCATTACGTTCTTCTCCAAACTACTGCAGTTTTCTTTCCTTTTTTGCCTACTTTTGATTAAAATCGAGTGATGACGGACAAGGGAATTTTGTTTATCTTGGTTTTGCCGTTCACCTCAATGTGGGATCAGCAGGCTTTCTCCTTTGAAGCTGTGCCAAGACAAAGTAGCTATTTATGTGAGATTCCTTCACAAGAGTCTGATGGAGGTGGACAGTGAGAATGAAGGCTTAATGGTGTATTTT